TCAGAGAAACTTCAGCTTTCACAATAGCAACAAATGGCATAAAGTATCTTGGGGTAACACTAACCAAGGAAGTGAAAGATCCATTTGACAAGAACTTTTAGGCTTTGAAGAAAGAAATTGAAGAGGACACCAGAAAATGGAAGGATCTTCCATGCTCTTGGATGGGTATGATCAACATAGTAATAATGGCAATTCTACCAAAGGCAATCTATAAATTCAATGCAATCCCCATCAAAATCCCATCAAACTTCTTCACTGACATTGAGAGAACAATAATCAATTTTATATGGAAAAACAAAAACCCAGGATAGCCAAAATAATCCCATACAATAAAGGAACTTCTGTAGGCATTACCATCCCTGACTTCAAACTCTATTTCAGAGCTACAGTATTGAAAATAGCTTGGTATTGGCATAAAAACAAAGACGTTGACCAATGGAATTGAATCAAAGACCTAGATGTTAACCCACAAACCTATGAACACTGGATTTTTGACAAAGGAGATAAAAGTATACAATGAAAGAAAGAATGTATCTTCAACAAATGGTGCTGGCATAACTGGATGTCAACCTGTAGAAGAATGAAAGTAGATCCATATCTATCACCATGCACAAAAATCAAGTCCAAATGGATTAAATACCTCAATATAAATCCGACTACACTGAATCTGATAGAAGAGAAAGTGGGAAGTAGACTGCAACACATGGGCACAGGAGACCACTTCCTATGTATAATCCCAGTAGCATAGACAATAAGAGCAACATTGAATAAATGGGACCTCCTGAAACTGAGAAGCTTCTGTAAAGTAAAGGACACTGTCATTAAGACAAAAAGGCCTCCTACTGAAAGGGAGAAGATCTTCACCAACCCCGCATGAGACAAAGGTCTGATCTCCAAAATACATAAAGAACTCAAAAAACTAGACTTCAAAATTCTAATTAACCCAATTAAAAAATGGGATACTGAACTGAACATAGAATTCTCAACAGAAGAAGTTCAAATGGCCAAAAGACACTTAAGATCATGTTCAACTTCCTTAGCAATCAGGGAAATGCAAATCAAAACAACTTTGAGATACCATTACACCTGTCAGAATGGCTTAAATCAAAAACACCAAGGATAGCCTATGCTGGAGAGGATATGGAGTAAGGAGAACACTCATCCATTGCTGGTGGGAATGCAAACTTATGCAACCACTTTGGAAATCAGTGTGGCGGTTTCTCAGGAAATTGGGAATCAACCTACCTCAAGATTCAGCAATACCACTTTTGGGAATATACCCAAGAGATGCCCTATCATACTACAAAAGCATTTATTCAACTATGTACATAGCAGCATTATTTGTAATAGCTAGAACCTGGAAACAACCTAGATGACTCTCAATGGAAGAATGGATAAAGAGAGTGTCAAATATATACACATTAGAGTACTACTCAGTAGTAAAAAAATGACATCTTGAATTTTGCATGCAAGTGGATGGAAATAGAAAACACTATTCTGAGTGAGATAATCCAGACTCAAAGGGATAAATATTGTATGTACTCATTCATCAGTGGATTCTAGCCATAAACCAAAGACATTAAGCCTATTGTTCACAAGCCTAGAGAAGCCAAATAACAAGGTGAACCCAAAGAAAAGCATATACAGATCCTCCTGGAAATTGGAAGTAAACAAGATTGCCAGGCAAAAGTTGGGAACATGGGGTGGGTGTAGGGGTGGGGGTGAGGTTGGGGGAAGGGGAGGGGGGAGAGAGAAGGGAGAAGGGAAAGACTGGGGAGAGCTTTGGGAAGTGGGAGCGTGGAGATGGATGAAAGGTGGATATAGGAGCAGGGAATAAGACATCTACATTAAGGGAGCCATTTTAGGGTTGGCAAGAGACTTGGCTTTAGAGGGGATCCCAGGTGTCCAAGGGGATGTCCCCAGCTAGGTCCTTGGGCAGCAGAGCAGAGGGTTCCTGAACTGGCCTTGCTCCACTATCACACTGATGATTATCTCAAATATCACCATAGAATCTTCGTCCAGCAACAGACGGAGATAGAGACAGAGACCCTCATCAAAGCAACGGCCTGAGGCCCCAAGGTCCAGTTGAAGAGTAGGAGGGAGAAGATGAGCAAGGAAGTCTGAACTGTGAGGGGTTAGTCCACCCACTGAGGCAGTGTGCCTGTTTTAATGGGAGCTCACCAATCCAGCTGGACAGGGACTGAATTAGCATGTGATCAAACAGGACTCTCTGATTGTGGCTGACAATGGGGGCTGACTGAGAAGCCATTTGATAAAGTCACTGTGACTTGGTTTTACAACATGTTCTGGCTTTTTGGGACCCTAGTCTATATGAATGCACAGCTTCCTAGGCCTGGATGTAGTGGGAAGGGCCTTGGACTTCCCACAGGGCAGGGTTCTCTGCCCTCTCTCCAGCAAGGGGAGGGGAGGAGGGTGAGTGGAGGAGCTGGAGGGGATTGGGAGGAGGGAAGGAAGTGTAAATTTTTGAATGGAAAAATAAATAAATAAATAAACTGCAGATTTCATACAATTTATTATAAAAACAGGTTTGCATAAAAAACCTACTTGTAACCTCAGTTCCTCTGGCCTCCAAGGGCGTGTGTGCTCACATGCTTATGCCCCAACCTGAACACAGACACATGCACATAATCAAAAGTTAAATCCTTGATATAATTATCTTCTAGATATGACAAAGAAACTACACCTGTGAAATTTCAGCAATATGACTGCTTAAATAAGACCTGAACAATGACAACACCAGTTGAGCTTCTAAAGTGTTTGGGGAAAGTCAAGGGCCCTCATCCCAAGATGAAATGCAACAGGCAATGTTAAAGTGCTGAGAGAGGGGGAAATAGTCTTTCCTAAAGACGAGCTTCCCTAATGATTATCCAATCCCAAGTGGTCAGACTTAAAATAAATATGTATTCAAGCAATAATAAACTGACTCTGTAAGATGCATTTATTTATATTTTTATGTCTGTATATGTTAAGAGAGTAAAGAGAGAGGATTATAACTGAAGCATAAGAAGCCTTGAATCTCAAGTGGATGAAGCAACCTGGGAGAAGCTAGATGGATTAAGGTGGGTGGTATGATTTAATTTTAATTTTTCTATTAATTCCAAGTGTTAAGCACACTAACAGTAAAATCAGAACCAAAATATCTCATCCCATCTTAGGAATTTACTGAGATTGTAGCTCTGTCCATAAAGGCAGTTGTGCCCAACAAGTCCATTTGTTTCTCAAAAGCATTGTCCAATAGCCCACAAAGTTCGTGTTGTGCTCATTTACTGTTTCTGTTTGTTTGCTCTTTCTTTTGTTATTTTTTTCCTTTTCTGAGACACCGCTTCTCTGTGCGCCCTTAGCTGTCCTGAAACTCACTCTGCAGACCAGGCTTCCCTTGAACTCACAGAGATATGTCTGTCTCTGTCTGCTGATTGCTGGAATTAAAGGTATGTGTCACCATGGCTCCCCTTATTTTTAGGACAAAAGCAATCTAAAATAAATTCTATTACTAAGATTGTTCAATTTCTTTATTATATATCACTAAATTGGAGCCTGCTCCATAGTTTTAAAAGATTCCCTCCAAATGGGTACCATATAATTAGGATTATTATATTGTGTAAAGATTTTGGTGCATACCTGTATGTGCAGACAATGTATCAGTCATATATAGCTCCTTTTCAGGGAGGAATTATCAATTTTCATTATATCTATATAGTAATATGTATCCCAAAACAGTTATCCCTTCACTGTGACCCAGATATGCCACAAAGTTCCAATCCCTGGACCAGATGAGTAATTTAGATCCAATTAATATATGAACTTCAGTTCACAAGTAGGATAAGAAAGACACTATGGAGGCCAAGTATGAAAGGAGGAAATTGAAAAAAAATCTCTGAAAATCATAAAGCTATGCAGATAAAACAGGACCTGGGTTGCTCTGGGATTATCTGGATGTGCGCGCGCTCTCTCTCTCTCTCTCTCTCTCTCTCTCTCTCTCTCTCTCTCACACACACACACACACACACACACACACACAGACACAGACACAACCCTACATTCCTCTGTCCTTAGGGCAAGGCCAGCCTGTGCCACCTCCCAGAGCTGATCTCACACAGCTCTAACTACCTGTTCTCTAAGCTCAGATCCTCAGCTCACTCCAGTCTCTATCAGCCTTTTCATGGGCTGGGTCCCTGTCACTTCTGGATCTAGCCCGCTAAATAATCATTTAAGATCTTACCAGGGCTTTGTTTATCTACAGAAAATCCTAGGCAATGAAGTAGAAAATACCACTACAGTCGTCAGCAGGGAAGTCAGGGCTGATGTAATCTTACTTATGTCTTAAGAGAGAAATGCCAACACATATTGATCAGGAAACCGATACTTGTCAATTTTGATTTGTTATTATACTTACGTATGTAAGATAGTAAGACACAATCAAAATTGGCCACAGGGTATAACTTGCTTTAGGGATTTCTCTGTGACATCCTAGCAGTTTAGGAGAGTCAGAGTGAGTGAAGATTAATTCATCAGACTATTCCAACTGATGGTTCCTCAGTATGATCAGAACTCCCAGAGGTTAATGAGATGAGGTACTAAAATTCTGCATAGCCAAATACGGCTCTATATCAACCCTCACAAAATACTGTAGAACATAGTCTGTGTATTTGTTGTCCAATAACTGTTTCTTTCTTGTCTGTATTATTTAAAATGCAAAGAAAGAGAGAAACAAGCAATCAAACAAAAAAAAAAACCCAAAAGATTTCTTACCAGAATTCGGAAGAATATAAGAAGTAAGAAAGTAAGTATATTCTTTGGGTTCAATACAGACACTGGACTTCCTGGGTTCTCAGGGCCCCTTAACCACAGGCTCAACACCCTCTGCTCTCTTGGTCTTTATCCCAGCTTAGCTCATGTCAGTGTGGTAACAGTGACATTTTTACCCAACCCAGAAAATGGCCTTAGCTACTTAAGCCAATCAGAGCAGAGGTGCACAGGTTTAAAAGGCCTGTGAGGTCACGGAGCGCTCACCTCCGTCATCCTTCAAGGGCTGTGTCCACTCTGCCCTCCTCCAACCCAAGAGCCTTCCTGGGAAGATGGCAGCAGTCCTGATTCTCCTGACCATTCTTCTGCCATTTGGAGCTGGTGCAGGTGAGTGAACACCCCTGTTCCGGAGGTGCCATCCCATAATACCTCTGTGGAGTCTCTGCCCAGCTCTAGTCAGGAACTTCCTGCACTGAACCAAGAGCTTTCTGAACCTCAGGTCCCAGAGTAACCCAGACCTGGAAATCTCTGACTGGCTAGATTCTCAGCAAGGTCTGAAGAAGGGCGGTGTCCTCAGAGGACATGGTGGGCACTAGCTTCTCCCTGCTGTTTTTGTCACCTGGATAGTGGATCATCCCTAAAAGGAGAAGTAGCAGAGAATGCAAAGTTACTAAAAAATACATCATTTACTTATCTGAGCCCAGATCCAGGGCAGCTTTAATGACCAGCCAGCAGCGGAGTAAGGCCACTAGCTCAGGAATATTATCATTATTTAGCAAGCTCCTCACTCAGTTGCTGAAGAAAGAGGCCCAGGGTGACAAATGCCAGCATTGCACCCTCCTCTAAAATTGCAGTTTTGGTTGACCTCTCCACTTCTTTCTGCATGTTCTTAGCTATTCCTGTCTATGCCAGCACATAACTCCAAGGGCCCTAGGGCCCTGAATCCCATGCTATCTTAACTACTAGCCCTGCAGCTAACTAGAAGTTATTCATTCATGCAGCTAAAAGCATTTGTTAAGAACCCAAGATGTGTTGGGCACCAGAATAGAATTTTAAAAGAGCTACCTGATAGGGGTTGAGGAAAAAGGTGAAAACATGACACCAATCAGTACATCAGAGGATCAGGGAGACACAATAAGAAAGAAAAGACCAAAGCAATTCAGCAAGGACCCCCTCAGTGTAGGCTCATGAATTTAGAGCTTGTCCCATCATGTGTTTATAAAGCAGGGCCTGGAGGACAAGTGCCACCCACCCCTTTTCAGAGATGGGCCCTGAGCCTTAGGATTCAGCAAAGATTATTCTATGTGTAAGGAATTCAGTCTACAACGTCTTGGGGAGCTGCAGATCCCATTGCCTTCACCCTCCTGGCCTCATCTGCTGCTCTCAGACACCCCATATTCTGTCTTTTCTTTCAGAGGAGATCATCGGGGGCCATGAGGTTAAGCCTCACTCCCATCCATACATGGCATTTATTGAATATCTGGATGGTAAGGGGAAGAAGAATTGCTGTGGAGGCTTCCTGGTGCGAGATAATTTTGTGCTGACGGCTGCTCACTGCAGGGGAAGGTGAGGAGGAACAACTGGCCCAAGCTTTCTGAGACCCCAACAGGAGGTTCCATCCTCTACTTGTGGCTGCTCCTCTGAGAGCTCCCTAGAGGGCAGTGCTGTGACAAAGGAAGTCTGTCATCAGGGCAACTTTGAGGTGAAAGGGTGAGAGTCCAGAGGCAGCAGCACAGTGGAGTTGAAAGCAACTACACTGGTCAGACTACAGCAGTAGCTGAGGTTGAAAGTACACTTTCAGAGTCAATGCAAACTTTGGAAAATTGTGGAGAAGTAAGAGGGAGCCTCCAGGAGTTTAGTGTCCTTGAGAAGACAAAGCAGTAGGTCACACTCTTAGGCCCTTCTGTCTCCCCAGCCCCCTCAGCTAGAGCCCCACCCTGCCCACCCAGCCTCTTACAGCTCCTGGACTGTGTCCTCTCTCACTCCTCATCTCCCATCTGCACTCTGCTCTCTACAGCTCAATGAAAGTTACTCTAGGAGCCCACAACATCAAGATCCAGGAGAAGACCCAGCAGATCATCCCTGTGGCAAAAGCCATCCCACACCCAGGCTTTAATAACGAAACCATCACAAATGACATCATGCTCTTAAAGGTGAGAAGAACCCCCACTGTGCTCCAGGGATTGCTCCTCCTGCTCTCACCCCACTTCTTTCTTCTCTTCCATCCTGGTGTCTCAGCCCAGCAGTCAATGAGCCACACACTTCCTTCTTCCCACAGCTGGAGAGGAAGGCCCTAAGGACTAATGCTGTGAGGCCCCTCAGCCTGCCCAGTTCTGAGGTCCATGTGAAGGCAGGGGATGTGTGCTCAGTGGCAGGTTGGGGAAAGATGGCCCCAGATGGTAAATTCCCAAATGGATTACAAGAAGTAAAGCTAACAGTCCAGAAGGACCAGGAGTGTGAATCCCGCTTTCAAGGCTATTACAACAAAACCATTGAGATCTGTGTGGGGGACCCAAAGATCAATCGTGCTTCCTTTAAGGTAAGTTGGATTGTCCTTCTCTCTGGGCTTCATGGTAGTAGGAAAGGAAATTGGGAACTAGAGACCAAGCATCAGGAACTCCTTTGCCCTCTGGCTGTGATCTTTCTCCCTGGATACAGCAGAAATCAGTAACTAACTAGAGCCTCAGAGCTGACAAGGAGCCAGCTCTGGTGAAGAGAGTTGGTATAAAAGAGGATTTGCAGAGTCCTCCTGTCACCCAGGCCCAGGCTTTAGAAAACTTTGCTCTGCCTGCTTCATTACCTCAAGCAGGGGTCTTCTCAGATCAGGCACCCACTTTTGTCAATGATCTTGTCCTCCATGCTCACATGAGGCCCTACAATCTGTCCACAGTTCAAAACAATAGCTTGGAGCTGAGGGTCCCACACACCTTCATAGAAAATGGATCACAGACTTGGAGAAATGCTACGAACCGGCTCAGGGGAGCCACTCAGACCGTGAGGGAATCAGGACGAAGGACGGAAGATTTCAGGACACGGCAGAGGAATTGACAGACAGACCACTCTCAATGTATTTTTGAAAATGCTGCTGCGATTTACTTACTTCAGTGCAGGATTATATATTTTTTTTTTACAATCAAAGAATTTGGCAAAGGCATACATCATCAAATCATAGAACAGAAAAGAACAGCACAAAACAGTTTACAAAACGAATCTTTGAAGATGCTTTGACTTGGGTACAAGGACTTCTGCTCTCTCACACTTTGCAAAACAAACTCTCTCCTCTTGCCTTCGTGGAGATTACTGCCCTTGAGCTAGACCATCTTTATCAGCTTGCAGGTGGCTGGTTGTTTTGAGCTAAGTGACCATGTGTGCCTGGCTGAGAAAGAAAAAGACTACTATCTCCCTGGGAAAGCTTTCTGCTAGGAAAATTCTAATACATAGTCTTGAATCTCTCTGAAGTTTACTTTATATCACTAACCTCAACTCTCCTCCCTTCTCAATTCTCAGGCTCAGATATTGTCAGCTTAGGCTAGGTCTTTTTCTTCCCATAAGAAAGGTTTCATAGGCCTTCTATTTACAACTGTACATATTTCTCAGGCAAATGCCTAAGGCTTCTAAGGTTTTTCTTAGAAAAATTAACTCCTTTTGTTCCACATCATCAAGGAATTGTCCTAATGATGATTCTGCCAATTCCCAGAACTGGCTACTTTTTTAAGGTTTTAATTAATAGTGGAGTAGAATTCAAAAATGTCCTCAGCAGTCTTGTTTGTATCTGCAACTGCCTGGAATAGTCTGATCTGTTAACAATGTGCAAGAATCACAAAGAACACACAAACAAGGGAAAAGACAGACATATAGCACCAAGTACAGTCAGGTCGAGTCAATACAAATGGTGACTCAGGTGGCATTACACCACAACTGATTGCCACGGGGCAGCCTAGGACAAATCTCCGTGGAGCGCGGATCCTGATCCTCCGGCAATATTTGCCTGCCTAGTCAGCATTTCTGCTACACTGGCGAGACAGCCGTGGATGTAGCAGAGAAAGTGTAAAGTCTGTGCTCAAGAGGGAGGTAAAGTAGTAACCCTTTCTACAAAAGAGTGGGAAGTCTAGGGGCCCCAGGCAAGCCTTCTGATCTCCCACACAGAGCACACAGATCATGTTTTACAGTGGGAAGTTGGGCCATTGCAAAATCAGCTTAGTCCCCTATGACTCCTCTCTATTCACAGGGGGATTCCGGAGGGCCTCTGCTGTGTAAAAAGGCAGCTGTAGGTATCGTCTCCTATGGGTCTAAAAATGGCTCAGCTCCAAGAGTCTTCACCAAAGTGTCAAGTTTCCTACCCTGGATAAAGAAAATGATGAAACGCAGCTAACTACAGAGCAAACCAGATCCCTTCCCGACTCACCATCTTCCCTCAAGCTGAGTCCAGGATTGTCCTAGGATGAAAGCCAGCATCTCAATAAAGCTCTCTTTGCAAGAATCAGAAGCCTGGTTTCATTTCACAGGGACCAACTCTGTGCTAGGCAGGCCAATGGCACTCTTCTGCTTTCAGCTCATTCCACAACCATGCACACACCTTGCCCAAAGCTCAGGCAACATTAGTGACCATCTCCTTTTTACTTGTCCCTCTGTGCAGTGCCTGCCCTTCTGACAGGCCTAAAGTCAAGCTTGGACATCTCTTTTCTTGGGGCTCAGGGTGAACTTTTTTCCTCCTCTGTGCCATATGGAATAAATGAAAGGGGAAATACCATTGTTCCTGGAGATGGGGGAGAAAAGACTGAGGCCAGTGTAGATGGACTTTTCTGGGCAGAGTATTGTTTTCCCACACTTTGAACATTAAGGTGAAAGCAATTTCAGTATCCTCACTTTCTCATGTATCCTCCTCTGAAACAGGGCCAAGTTCCTCCAGTCTCTTTGTTCTATCCCCTTCTCTTTTATGCCTGCTCTGAGACTCTATCAACTTCTATGCTTAGTAGTCCATGCTAATCTTTACATGTCCCTACCTCTTATCCCCCTGCCTAGGACACCCAAATCCACATGTGGTTCCTTTCATTAGGGCCTCAGACCTGTGGTGCCAGCCTAAATCATGACCTTTCAGGGATGGGGCTCACAAATATCCAGGTCAGAAGTGTCATCATAGAGGTTCTTTGGAGACCAGGGCTCTGATTGTGTGTCCCCAAACCCTGTACCCTATCTCCCCCATGCTCAGATCTGGGGAAGCTCTTCCCAGTCACTTCATATCCACTGTACCAACCTCACCATGTGATCAGCATCCATAGCAGCAGGGTCACTCAGCATGAGCTCCTCTGAGCTTGTTAGTCTCAATCATTTCTGGCTTCTAGGCTATGGTGCCCTGCTGGTCATTTGGTTGATGTCAGTCTTTGACATCCCCAAGACAAAAGAACTAAAAGTCTTTACTTTTCCATCAGTCAACACTAAAGTGTATGAGGTTTGCAAATGACTTTAGGAAATTAGCCTCCTGGGAAACTATTCAGAAAATTAGTTTTTCTTCCCAGGAGTTGGCAGTAGGTAGAGAATAACACAAGTAAGACGGCCTTGTTGCATTTATTTTATAGGTAACAGATACAGAGTCCTTATGTAGATTTAAATCCTAAGAGATGCACATGTTCAGAAATGTAATTCAGAAACAGAATTAAATGTGAGTTAGGAGGCTATGAAACAAAGAAAAATTTAAAAATATGGTGTGGAGAAAAACCTGTGATATTTCAACATTCATGTTTACTGCAGTATCCATAATTTCTAAGACTACCTGGGATTCTCATTTATAGGAAGTTCTGGGAATGAGACTGTAGCCAGAATGTGTGGGGTTTTTTTGTCATAGCCAGAACCTGGAAGCAACCTGGGTGCCCCTCAATAGAAGAACATATACACATTAGAGTTTTACTCAGCGGTAAAAAACAATGACATCTAGAATTTTGCATGAAAATGGATGGAAATAGAAAACGCTTTACTGAGTGAGGTAACCCAGACCCAAAAAGAGGAATATGGGATGTACTCACTCATAAGTGGATTCTAGCCATAATTAAAGGACTTTGAGCCTATAATTTCTGACCCTAGAGAAGTTAAATAAGAAGATGAACCTAAAGAAAATCATATAAATGTCCTCCGGGATATTGGAAGTAGACAAGATTGCCAGGCAAAGCTTGGGTGCATGGAGGGGGGTGGATGTAAGGGGAGATGGGTAGAGAGAAGAGGGAAGGGGAGGATTCGGGAAAACTTGGGGGAATGGGATGGGTAGGATGGAGAAAGGGTGGATATGGGAACAGGAAAATAAATATTTTAATTAAGGAAGCCATTTTTAGTGTTTTGCAAGAGACTTGATTCTAGAGGGGTTCCCAGGTACAAGGAGAGGTCCCCAGATTGTTCTTTGGGCGGCAGAGGAGAGGGTGCCTGAACTGGCCTTGTCCCGTAGCCGCACTGATCAAGATCTTGCATATCACCATAGAACCTTCATCTGGCGATGGATGGAGATAGAAACAGAGACCCACATTGGAGCATTGGACTTAGCTCCCAAGGTCCAAATGAGGAGCAGAAGGAGGGAGAACATGAGCAAGGAAGTCAGGACTGCGAGGGGTGCTTCCACCCACTGAGATGGTAGGACTGATCTAATGGGAGCTCACCAAGGCCAGCTGGACTCAGATTGATGGAGCATGTGATCAAACTGGAGTCTCTGAATGTGGCTGATGGTGGAGGCTGACTGAGAAGTCAAGGACAATGGCGTTGGGCTTTGATACTACTTCATGAACGGGCTTTGTGGGAGTCTTGTCTGTTTGGATGCCCACCTTCCTGGACCTGGGGGTAGTGGGGAGGACCTTGGACTTCCCATAGGGTAGGGAACCCTGACTGCTCTTTGGCCTGGAGAAGGAGGGGGAGTGGGAGTGGGGGAAGTGGAAGGGGAGGGAAGTGGGAGGATG